CCCTCAGCCAGGGTCAACCCACCACAGTATACTAGAATAAAAATTATAATGCCTGGAAAACCCAACTGCATTGTCTTAGTACTCTCTGTCAAAAACATGCATAGCTATGACTTCTCTATCGTCCTGTAACTTTCCAGGAATAGATGAAATAATCTGCATCACAGTCTTTCCCATCTATGATATGTGTACAAAGGCATTGGCTTTTAAGTGATTTTTATGTCTCAGTAGACTGTGACTGAACTATACCTATGACATAACGAAAGCTATGAACATAAGCTGTCACTGATTACAAGTATGAGGGCACTGTAAAATGTTGAGTGAACTTGCAATTTTGCTAGGGAGAGCAGAGGTACAAGAGCATCAGTGCAGAAGGCAGGCCAAAAGAAGAGAAGACTTTGATGAGTTTAACTCCTCACCTGTTAACAAAAGATTAGTGGTATTTGTGTGATGAAGTAGTCAAACAGAACAAGCAGAAAAAGGTCTGGTTTTAATATGAAGACTTAGACTAACATATACTTAAGCAAAAACTTAGTATCTCTCAATGCTGAATTCATGGGCAGAATTTATTTCAACGTGAAAAACAATGGAGTATGACAAAGTCATTATACATTTCAGGAGGCCAGTGTCCATACGTATATAACATAGGTAACTTAAAATTTTATTTCTAACCTGCTAGTTTGTAAACTCAAGGGGAAAGAAAAACAGCTCATCAAAAAATCAGTTTAAAAGGTCAAAGAGCTAATGGGTTTAAAATATGGAGATACAAGATGTTTTTAGGTCACTACTTGGTCACAGATTTCTTACTGTAAATTAATTAAAAATTCCTAATTCCTTTGAAGATATTCAGTCACCTTTAAGTATCAGTGGGAGATGTACCCAACCATTTTTCAGGGTCTGATCCTTAATTTCCTTCCACCTTCCTTCACATGTATGCAAAACAGAAACTGCCTAATTTCATGAGGCTAAACTAAAAACTGTTTCCTATTTACACATTGCCGCGGAAAGGTCTATAGTGTACTTAAGACAGAAATGCCTGTTCTTCAGGCTGTGAGGACATCTGCTTGTAAAAGGAAAATGGATATGGAGTTAGCTTGTACACTGCAGTGAAGTGGCTGAGCTTTATTGGCCAGAAAGAAAACCATCCCTTTCAGCTGTTGAAACCACCTGCTAGGTTCAGTACATAGGACTAAGAAAATTCAGTGAAAAAAATGTCATGACAGGAACAAGGCTTTTTTTCTATGAAAAAGGAACTAATGAAACCTGCTTTCCTATGGATTTATGACCACTTTCTCTAAAGCCACCAGTTTCCTCTCCAGTTCTCAGTGATGTCTGCACTGAAAAACAGCAGATAGTGTTGCTAGTACAATCTACATATACATAATACAACTTTTCCTATTTACTGTAAATAATAAATAGCTAGAGGTTAACATTGTAACACACAATCAACTTCCAACTCCTTCAAATAAAGTTGTAATTATTTAGAAGGTTTAAAAACTGGGGGGTTATTTCATTTATCAGAATAGTATACAATATTTATGATATATCCAATAAACTGTACTTAATATTTACCTGCATGGAAGTCTATGCCCACAGCAAATGAAGTTCCAGATAAAGGCATTAAAGCATCCATTTTATCATTTGGATCAAGAGGAATTCCTCTAATTCCTTCATGAACAGAATACATAAGAAATGATTCAATACCTATGGGAAAAATCAAATAGCCCATGAGAGCAAAGTGGAGACTTTCCCAATTAACAAGACTTGAGGAATTAGCAAGCACTAGGCATAGTTTTCCAATACTGCTCCATAGTTTTCCAGAATGATAATTCCATCTCTTTGAAAACACATCCATGAATTATTATGGTGTATTTCTAATTAAATGATAAATGCAGTATTATAAAGAGAAGGGAATCCCTGCCCATTTCAAGCATCACCTTATAATTAATTAAGAAATTAAAACCTAAGAAGAAAATGGTTTTGTATTATGAGAAATCTAAGAATATTTTCAGTGCACATCTGCACATTTTGTATATATTAAGCAAGAGACAATTTTAAAGAACTTGTGAAAAGCAGGACTCAAAACTGTAAACTGAGGCATGGGATTTATCTCACCTCATTTAGTCATGCACATTTCCTTTACAGGCAATAGAGAGAAATACATAGTTTTAGTGAACAATGCAGTATATCTAGACATAAAGGAGGAATACATTCCAAATACACAACATCCACCAGTTTTACGTTAACCCACAACTGAAAGTTATAAATATCTGAAGAAGTAATTGTAAAAGTAAAAATGACTATATTAAAAAGAAATAAAAAGACGTTAAGAACATGTTATTAAGTCACATATGAAAAGCATTGAAGAAGCAGAAATGCCAAATTTATGTTGCTTAATTCTGCTTCCATGTATAGTCTACTATTAACTAGATAAAGTAGCAATTCCTCATAGGAATAAATAATATTAAATTAATACAACTATAAGGTACCTTGACCATAAAGCTGTTTTGTATTCAAGAAAAAAAGTAAGACTTTGGATGTAAGCTATGTTTTGATTTTTTCCTGCTCAAATAGACAAAAGATTTTTAAAACAAACAAACAAAGAAAGAACCCCCCCCCAACACCCCAAAACTCCCCTTCCCCCCCCCTCAAAAAACTCAGGCCTTGCTTTACATTAAGGGCAGTGCAATAGGATGAGATACCCAACCTTTCACATACTGTAACCTGTAATTTAGTTTAAAGATAAGGTATATCGCCTTGAACAAATACGCACTGCTATTAATGATGACACAGATGGTCTGCTTTTCTGCCGACATTTAAAAAAAAAAAAAAAAAAAAAAAAAAAAAAAAATATTCCTCAGAGTTTCCACAAAAAGCTATGCAGAACTGAATAAAGAAATCAAAGGCTAAGTTTAAATTCTGTCCTAACCACAACAGACATTTCTCTGTTACTGCTTTAATCAAGCATATTAAGTAAGGTTATTTAACTTAAAATTAATAAAGTTTATTTACTCATTACAACATTCCCATAAACCTGAAGTTAGTTAAGATAAATATTAAAAGGCATTTTACCTTTGCATGCCATGCGGTTTTTTTGAAGGTTGTAGCCTACTGTACACACACATGTCCTGGTGGTTTCTGATGTTGGTAAACAAAGCTGGGAGCATCCACCATTGCTTAACTGACAGGAATTGCTGCCTATAACATGGTGGGAGAAGAGACAAGAGGAAACCAAATTTGAACAGTGCAATCTGACTAAAAATAGGTGTTGGCATCAATTTATTAATTCTACACAAATCAAGTTGTGTTCAGCTATATGTTCAGATATGCATAAAATATCTCAGGTGTGCTACTAGTCACTCTTCCATGCTTCCCCCTTTATAGTATTTTAACTGTGCACGTAAAGACTAGTGGGTTTTCCCTCAGAAATTCAGTTTTCTGAAGAAGAATCTGTCTATTTTAAAGTGAAAGCACATGATAAAACTGAAAATACTACATTAAATTTGTGAGTAGCAATGCTGAAATCTCACTGACATTAGTCTAGAAGGCATATATTATTCTAGACCATGAGCAAATAATTGATCATAATGTATTCATTCATCAAATGCTATATTAACCTTCTATCTTCAAGAACGACCAATTGTTTAGTATATTTAAGATACGCTCCAACGTGATCTCGCAGATGCACGCTCCTACTTCCTAAGTAAACCAATGTTTATTTTTAAATAATAGATGAACACTTTTTAATAAGTTTTATAATATACATTATACACAGTACAATAAACGCATCTCAGAAATTTGAAGCTTCATGAAGAAAGACTGAAGTCTACTAAGACATTCAAGGAATTAGTTGATTATAAGTTACCAAGCCCATATGAATCAGAGCACTATTTGTCACATTTATTTTTGCGTTTCTGATTTTGAAATAGAAAGCATTTATTCATCTAAAAATCATAGATGTTTTCTAATGATCCACCCATACAAATGGAGAAGACAGGTGAGATTTCAAAGTCTCAGGTATTCTCAAAAGGACAAGTTGCAGAGTAAAAAAAAATCCCAAAACTACAACACCAGATTTGTGTACAGAGAAATCTTAAAGTGCCCTCACATCACATTTGCTTTCATGTCACTTTTATCTAATGAAATGCAAGATGCATTAAAAAAAATGCAAAAATTCTTTTAAAGAAAAATGTGCAAGTGTAAAGCTGAATCCCATCTATGGTGTTTAATTCTTACATCTAGAACCCTTACACTGCTCTGTCAAAATATAGACTAGCAAGGTGACATTTCACTGCACAACTTCAGGGCTCTCATTACGGTTAAAGTTCAGTAGTACAAAAAGACAGAACTGTTCCTTTTCTTGACTTTTGTACAAAGGAAGACACGTATTAATGCCACAGAGACCAAATATTGCTAACATTTGGGCACTCGTGAGGCCATCCATATGTCTCCATGGTAGGGAGTTCATTTTAAAATAACAGAAGCATTATTGAATGCCTAAATTTTTGTTACTTACTGTTCCACCACATTTAAAACTAAGGGCAAGACTGGCCAAGCAGCTTTGATGTTTCCTAGATTAGGGAAAATGGCAAGCGTTCCCAGAAGTGCTCAATATAGAACTGAATTAATGTACTCTGTACATAGGCTACTTATTGTCCATCAGATAACAAACAGCTCAGCTCCATCCTCTGTTCTTTTGGAAGCTTCTCTGCAAAATGAAATGATTTGTATCATGTAGATCCCATCCTCATTCTTTTAGTGGAACCATCAATGCTTTCAAAGTAGCTGGAATCAGAAATAGTATCTTTCTAAAGAATGTCCCAAACCTCTTCATTTCTGATCTCCAAATTAAAAAAAACACCTGTGTGCATGGCCCCAAATGACACTTTTTCATATTACCTTAGCTCCCACTTTGCCAACTAAGTTTTGGCAATATTAGCAATATTCCCTCATTTTTGTGCTGCCTCACTTCTGGTTTATACTATTGTTACTTATGTAAATTTAGATGAATTAAACTGTCTTAAAACAAATAGATAATTAAGAATATTAATGAATTCTCTCATAATATTTCACTTACAGTTTCAATAGTGTGTGAACCTCATCTTAAATTAACTGATTTAACTGGGGTGCATCAAGCACGGCATTGCTAGCCTGCCTCGGGAAGTGATTGTCCCACTCCACACTGCACTGGTGCGGCCTCACCTCGAGTACTGCGTGCAGTTTTGGGTGCCACAGTACAAAAAGGACATAAAACTATCGGAGAGTGTCCAAAGGAGGGCAACAAAGATGGTGAAGGGTCTAGAGGGAAGACAGATGAAGAGAAGGTGAAGTCCTTTGGTTTGTTCAGCCTAGAGAGAACTGAGGGGAGACCTCATCGTTGCTACAACGTCCTCACGAGGGGGAGTGTAAGGGGCAGGCGCTGATCTCCTCCCTCTGGTGACAAGTGGTAGAACCTGAGGGAACGGAATTAAGCTGCGACAAGGGAGGTTTAGGTTGGATATCAGGAAAAGGTTGTCCGCAGACAGTGGTCGGGCACTGGAACAGGCTCCCCAGGGAAGTGCTCACAGCACTGAGCTTGACTGAGTTCAAGAAGCGCCTGGATAACGCTCTCAGTCATATGCTCTGATTCGGCTGGGCCCGTGTGGAACCAAGGGTGGACTCGATGATCCCTATGGGTCCCTTCCAACTCAGGACATTCTATGAACTAAAATTTTTTAACTTAGATTCTCTAACAGACCTTCAAACTTCGCTATAGTGCAAACTTCAGAAAACATCTGATAAATTAACATATATGAGGCAGATATTCTAAATCTATTTTCCTACTATATTCAGTAATGAAATATAGTTTTTAATAAAATTATAGTAATTTATCACTAAATTAAAATGAAATACATAAGATCTTGGTCTAGCCACATTTGGAAAATAACATGGGAAAAGATATTATACAGTCTAAAAGGTGCTTAAAATTTAACATACCTTGCTGTGCTGCTTTATCATACACTTTCATATGTACAACACCTGAAGTTTTGTTTCGCAGGACAGTTGGGTTTCTTCCATCTTTTTTATTACAGGTACCAATCTGAGCTAAGTTCTGGTCTGCCCACCAAAGCTTTTTATCTGTAAAATTTTCAAGTTTTAAAAATTAAGAGGATCACTATCAAATTATATATGTTTAAAACCTAAAGTGGGAAAAAGCTTGTGAGGTTAATTCTCAGATCAATTGTAAGGAAAATTGCTCAAAGAATAAATAATTATTTTTTTTTAATTTTAAAACCAGAAATTTTTGATCTATAAATTTACTTTTTTCTCTTTAGATGATAGGTTTTCACACATTTTTAAGTGGAAAACTGAATTCCCAACTTATAATTGAAAGTTACAAAATCTTATTTACAGATCATATAGTACTACAACACCAGATTTGTTCTCAAACTTTGCTATATTCATTCATTATGTATGTAGAGATGACAGGAACTCTGGTTCCAGGTTTTCATTACTTGAGTGTTCAAATTAATAAGTATGAGAATTACCACAAAAATCATAAAGAAACTTGTCACTGTCTTAAAGAAGTTATCAAAATTATCAATTTACATTGATAGTAATTTTTTCATCATAGTTTACTCAAGATTTTAGAATAACAGAAAAAAATGAGACATGCTGTGTTCATACTAGCATGAATCTTCAAAGCATCCTTGCCAACCCACACACACGAAATACTTGAATCATAGTATGTAGGACTCGTCACGGTTTTATGCCAGAGAATTCTCACTTGATGCACAATTGCAGTATGTGCAACATATTTTTCAAGAATGGGATTTCAGGTGACATTAGTCATAAAGTTTTCACTTAAATTCAGACAGGATTCTAAGTGACATTAGGATAGAAACACTAAGCTTGGTCATATTGTTGTGGCCATATTGGTTACTGTGGAATGTAAATTTTCATTAAAAAAGAAACTAAGATACAAATGTCAATATTAATGTAAGATAAACTTCATGACAATTTAAACAACTGTGTATGAAGATAAACAATTTAAAAGACATTTCAAGAAATTGAAAGGTTTACATGAGATGTGTATTCTCTACTTCATTTCACTTACATCACTTCAGGCAAATGTTATTTTTGAAGCCTCATTAACATAAATATCAACATTAGAGATTGCTTTAGTTTTATTCAGAAATATATAGCACTTATCAGTGTTATCAGTTTGTAATTTTGAGACTTTGACTCGTTACCTGCTGGAATTAATGAAGCCTCTTCAGTTAAAGAGCTTGCTGGTCTTTTATTCATTTAATGAAAGCTAGCAAGATGCTTCAGTGTCAATGGTTTATAATTTCTATAAGGTAATAAACTTTACTACTTTTCCTCATCCAGCCTTGGGGTGGTACTCCCACCAAGTTTTGAATATTTCATGTTTCATACCATCACTCAATATTGTACAAATAGGCTATAAAATAAGTCACAACAACCACAAAGAAAAAAGGAAAATGCAAAGAGGACCTATCAAGGAACACGGCAAGAAAAAATGCAAATAGAAGAACATTCAATTTACACTTTTGAAAACCACAGCAGCTCTCATAGAAAAATCTGTATTCCCTATTGCTAAGGCTTGGAAGACAGAATAGGTTAAAATGAGGGGAAATAAGAAGCAAGCTACAAATGCCCTTCATTCTTTTGGTATTTCTTCATACCTCTATGCATATGAAAGGCCACATTTATTTATTTTACTGTAGCTCTGAAGGATGACATCAAGATCATAAAACTACTTTCTACAACAGCTATGTCCTGTCAGTGTTTCAATGAAGATGCAGGGGCAATGATGAAAAAGCTCTGTAGTATGGCATGACTACTCACAACGGCCAATCCGTCAGGGACTACAGTCAAGCGTCATGAATCGGGGTGCCCACAGGCTGCTCACCCTTATGGCACATCTGAGACTATCGCAACCTGAGAATCAGGGTACTGAAATCAGCCATTGCATGCTTTTGTGACTTGCCATTTGCCAAGAGAGAAAAAAACCCAACCTTTAAATTTCACATCTTGAGGCACCAGCATTGCACACTCAAGGTGGAATCATTTGTTCAATGCAAACTAACATATTCTACATAAATATCTTCTATGAGGTACATGGTGACGGTTCAGTTTAGAGGAAACTAAAGAATGCACTGAAATTGCAAAAGTGTATTTCTGAAAGGTAAGCAAACTTTTGTCAGATCCAAAAGAATAATAAACATAGTAATGATGCTTACTGTCTAATTTTAACAGACTAAACACTTGAGAACTTAAACTTGCTTCCAAAACAAGAATTCGGCTAACTCATAGTGACTGAATGTTCACAGTGAAGAGCTCCTTACCTAACCAATGCCAAGTCCTTCAGCTGTTTCCCTTATAACATAATCTTTTCATTTTTATCATAATTAATTTCAGCCAGCTTGTTCCCATTATTCATCAATCTCAATGGTTGCTGGAAGCAAAGCAAATCAGTCCTTTCCTGTCTGGGTGAGACTGAAACACAGAGCATACCGAACATACAGAAAACACTTAGCCAATGCTAACTCTTAATGTCATCCTTCAGTCATTGTATAACAGCATTATTTCAGTGAAGAACTTCCTGAAGTTTCTAGCTGGAGACAAACAAATCCAATGCAAAGCACTGCCAGCTATTTCTATCAAGTGAAACGGGAACAACAACATCCTGTATTCTACTTTTCACAGTAGAGGCATGAGATACTTCTGCTAGGTTTTGACAACTATTTAAAACCTTGGGGGGGGGGGGATCAATGCACAGAACTAACACATCCTTTGTCAAAATACAGATTTCCTTTTCAAGTGAAACCAAGAACACCATATGCTACACTTCCTTGACAAACTCAAAAGCCACCCCATAAAAATCTTGTCTGACTGAGCCCCAGTACACTGCAAAATAGCGGAATGATTGACTGGTTGAATCCCTTCAGTTTGTTGGCAGCCAGATGGCCACGCAGCATATGTGCTGGTCAGCATATCACTTCACACGCAGCTCCAGAGTGGCAATAGCCTGGGCTTTGTTTTACACAGAGAAGATGGGGAAAGGAGTGGAGAGGAAAAAAGGGGACAAATTTAAGGAATATGTGAGGAAAATGGGGTATTGTGATTGCAAATTGTGGAATTGTGAATGGGGGAAGGCTCTACAGGTGCTTGCAGTAGAGACATCTTTTGTGCAGAAGAGCAGGCGAGATCCCGGGGTGAGGTGTTAGGATGAAAGATAGTGAGTACTGCACTGGAGGTATTATGGAGAGAAGGTTATAAAGAGAAGCTGAAGGTACTGTATTATTAAGATTCCGGAGACAATAAGCAGTCTTTACCAGTTCCACTTTTGTTGCAACAACTGCTGACTTGAGGCTACTTCCATAGAAAATCCTAAATTAAAATGCCTAGTTATATATGGAAATTCTACTGACTTTACTCTAGAGAAGAAATTTATTTTCTCAAGTGAACAAAATTGCTTGTAATTCTAAACCACGTTTTTCATTAAAAACAAATTACAATCAATAACTAAGAAATCATGACAAAAATGAAAAGCAGGCTCTACCTCCCAATGCATCAGAATATAATTTTAAACACCTTTGATACTGAACTCAAACTTCATTGAACTAATGGCCAAACACTGCCACAGAAACCATAACCAATCTTCTGATTTCAAGTCCTTAAGACATTATTCCTCACTGTCTCTAGAGTGCATATCGATGTACGATGAGATGGCCGCAACGTTCCAGGTTGACAAGTTCCAGTGTCTGTTTCTCATTTTCCTTGAACACCCTACCTCACTCCTTACCCCCCTCACTGTGGGTTATCAGTTTCTCTTGACTTAGTCAAGTCAATCACCTTAGTGACTGGCTAACACCCCATAGCTCGCTATTTCAGAAAAGCAGCTATGGATTTTTATGTTATGAATTTAAAATCATACTTCTGAGTATCCACAGCCTTTACTTTTCCTATATAATAAAGAAATTTAAGCTATTTTGTTAGTAAAATGTAATCAATCAAATAAAATGTAGTCCTGGTACTAGCCTTCTAGGAAGTCTCAGTAAAGAAACAAGGTTTCATTGGCTCAGCTCTGTTATATTCTCTCAGTTAACAAAGCAGCCTAAAAATAAGTGCAAGCAATTCCCCTCTGCTCTCACCCTTTTGGAAAAGTAACTGTTTTAAACAAACTGAACTAGCTAATGTTCTAATACCATATTATCTCAGACCTAGTCTTGACCAATAGCCTCAAGGGCACCAGAATGTAATTTTCATGTGAATGTTAAATTTCACCATGAAAGGAAAAACAACAGAAAAAGGAAAAGAATTTATAGGAGCAATTTGGATTCAACTTTATCTTCAGTTTGTCACGTGTATTTTTAAACTGGAACAATGTAAATGGCCGTGTATGGGCAGTACCACATGCTTAGGTTACTAACAGATTACTGCTCTGCAATGAGTTAATATTTCACTCATGACTACATTTAAAGTATTAATTACTGTGAAATACAATCTTGCAGCAATGTTCTACATGATGAAAAAAGTATGAGCATTTCCCTCTTTCCTCCAAATAGTTATGTATCTTTTAAACATCTTAAATGAAGTAATTAGATGGGGCAAGTCTTTATAATTGCGAGTTTAACATCATCAGCATTTTCATTTCAGACAGAAAAAGTTATTACTGTAGATGAACCAGAAGTAAAACCCTAGATCAAAAAAACTTTTAAACTTTGGGAACACTGCCTTTCCAACAAATATTGTGTACTAAGTTAATTTCTAGTTCATTTTATTTTCAGTTAAATGAATTTTCCTATGCTGCAGTTTTAATATTTAAATAACTAATTTATAGAGGCAGACAGTTAAGTGTTTCATGATGAAAACTGCAGATCTGAAAAATAATTTCCATTGCAGTAACTGTAAAAAGTTACTGCACAAAAGAAAATAAACTCTGAAAATATCAAGGAAAAAAAAGCATTTACTGTGTAGTCTTCGCAGGTATATTATGAGACAACAATCTATAGAACGAAAATATTCTGAACATCAAGACTTAGAGACACAAATGGAACTCTCCGGTGAAACCTGTGTGAAATTTAAAGGAAATCTAGCACCCTATGCAT